TTCTCCAAATCAAGTCTTAGAAGTAGACATGTTGAATGACATAATGGGGCAGCACCCAGGCTTCTGGCTGGCTGGCCTCTAAGTAACACCTGTTATTACAGTGGTTCCATTTCTGTGAAAAGTGAGACCCTCAACAGAAGGTGTCCTGAGCGGACTGTCTTGATTGGCTGGCATAGGTAATTAATGCAGTTTAATATTTACTGAGTCACTCTCTCCTCCAGTATGCAGGATTGAAACCACTGAGCTGAATCCTCAGCCCTTTTCATTTTTTATTTTGAGGCAGGTATCACTAAGAATCACTAATATACTGGCCTCAGACTTGGGCTCCTCCTGCCTTGGCCTCCCTTAGTACTAGGATAACAGCCACGTGCCACCATGCTGGCACCTGCTCAGTTCCCATTGTGTCTGTAGTCCAGATACAGAATGTGCTACTGCTGAGGGATAGGGAATAAAAAGTATGATCTGTTCTCGTAAGAAAATTAATGTAATCAAGGAAGAAAACACTATATAAAGAGTCCACACACCTATCAGCAATGAGGCTTTAAGCAGTTAATTTAATTTTTTAAATTTTCTCATCTATAAAATAAGGATAGAGTCTACACATGATTAGATGAAGGAAATGTGGTATGTCAATGTGATGGAATATTATTCAACCTTTAAAAGGAAGAACTAGACACATGGTACACTGGATGATCCTTAAGTGTATTGTTCTCAGTGAAATAAAGCCAGTCACACAAAGACAAAAATAAAAAATAAAAAATAAAATAAAATAAAATGGGCTAAAGCACCTACTTAGAACAAGCTTAGCAAAACACAGGGACCGCGGTTCAATCCCCCAGCACCACATGCCAGCCAGCCCTGCCCCCTGGTGGGCTGAGCTGGCCACACACACACACACACACACACACAAAAAAAAATAAAAAAAAAAAAGGATATAAATTGTTATATTAAAATTAGATAATATGTACAAAAGTACTTTGAAAACTTTTTTTGAATAGCTATCAAGACAGTTGATTTATTGTATTAATTTATAAATTTATAACAAAAAGGAAGAGATTATTATTGATGGACCTGAAAACATCCCTGAAACTTCAAAACATGCCTATGGCTATTAGGTGATGGACCAACCATAGTTTGTCTTCCTGTAAATGTGCAACATTAATGCTTAACTAAGATCTCCATAACTGATAAGCCCATGATTGTGGACTAGCTTTGGCAATAACAGTGATAAAACAGATTTTATTAGCAGGTATTTGAAGTCCAGTGTTGGGCTGAGTTTTCTTTTTTAATCCCTGATTTCAAAAGAAGAAATTATCTTTGCTTGTTTACCATTTGCTTGAGTGGTCTGCTTAGGTCAGCAGAGTCCAGTTAAATTTTTTTTTATTAAAAATAAAGCCTTTCTCTCAAATTTTCCACTGTGCTGTAACTTTGTGTATGACAGTATTCATTAGATGCCTTCTGAATTGGACTTAGGGGCATTATACTGAAGCTGTGAGGCATTATACTGAAGCTGTGTGGTAGCTTTTCTAGATTCTCTGTTACAGTTTTATTATCTCCATGAATGACTTTAACATTAGCTTTTCCCGAACTGTCTTCATTGGTCTTCTGTATTTTACCACTGACTGATTCTTGCTTCTAAATTATAAGTCCTGGTAAGTGGGTATCAAATAGTTGGTGAACTTTATCCTCTACTGTACCTACCAGCGTTCTACCTATAGCAGGTACCAAATGACTAAGTGAATAAATGGAAAAAAAGGAATAAACAAGAAAGGTTTGGTGAGCTTATTTCTTATATTAAATATTCAAGCATGCCATAGAAGATACAGAAATTTGTCTATTTAAGAAATTATAACCTCATCAGGAAAGGCTTTCTTTAAACTCAATTTTATAGAAATGATTTCACTATCAATTATTAGAGACTGACAGGGAACCTATAATAGGAGTGGCTTGAACAGAAATGTTATTCCAGTGTCATTTCTCTCATGTAGAAGCCCAGAAGTCTCCATCTAGGACTTGTGTGGTCTCCATAGTGACAGATGCTCAGGATTCTCTCATCTTTGAGTGCTGCTATCCCCAGAATGTAGCTTCTGACTCATGGTCCAAGGTGTCTATTCAAAGTCCTACAATCATGTCAGCATGTCTGTTGCAGACTTCCTGTTGTCTGACACTCCTTCCCTTCCTGCAGTACCTCTCTGCCGTTGTCAGTGCTGTCATCTCTTTCCCTGGAGCCGGTCTTCTCCAGGAGTGCTGGATGCCTGCACGTTCCAGGTGGAGAGCTACTGTCTGAAAACCTTTAAAAAAATGTTGCAGAAATATAAAAGATTAACTTCAGCATAATCACTTGCTATTAGAAAAAACTAAATATATTTAGAACTGTACAGTGTCAGAGCCAGTCTGTCAGTGTCAAAAAGTGCTGTTGAACATGTGGAGACAGGGAAAGACAGCGTTAACATGAACCAGTGGTAACTTACCCAGGAGTCTGACCTTAGGCCAGCCTTCGCAGATGGTGAAGATACAGGAACATAGGAGAGTAACTTGAACAAAGTTATTTAAAGCTCCAAAGAAATGGAGCTTAAAAAATAGCTCATATTGCTCTAGCAGCAGTAAAATGACTGGTGAGAAATTGAGTAGAATTTTGAACATTGATAAGAATGTAAATTATACTTTTTAAGGTGGGTGGTTCAGTGGGTCCCTCCTAAAGTTGTGCCTTGGATCACCTCTGCCTAACTCTTCATTTCTACTACCCCCAAAAGAAATCCCACACCCATTAGCCATCACTCCCATTCCTCCTATTCTGGATAGTACATGTAAAAAATTCATTCATTCTGCAGCCTTTTTTGTCTGACTTCTTTCACTTGAGATGTTGTCACGGTTCATCCATGTAGCCTGTATCATAACTTCATTATTTTAGGGCTGGATAATATCCCATTATATGAGCATATCACATTTTACTTATCCATTCATCAACAGATGAACATTTAGGTTATTTTCACCTTTTTAATGTTACATATAATTCTGTTGTAAGCATTTGTATACACATTTTTATGAGGCCGTAAGTTTCTGATTCTCTAGAGTGCATAAACCTGGTAGTGGAATTGTTGGGTTATATACTAATTCTGTGTTTAACTTTTCTTTTTTTTTTTTTTTTCCCCCCACCCCGTGTTTAACTTTTCAAGGAACCACTAAATTATTTTCAAAGTTCCTATACCATTTACATTCCCCCTCAGGGCTGGTGAGATGGCTCAGTGATCTAAAGCACCTACTTAGAACAAGTTTAGAATAGCACAGGGACCACGGTTCAATCCCCCAGCTCCACATGCCAGCCAGCCCCGCCCCCTGGTGGGCTGAGCTGGCCACACACACAAAAAAAAAATAAATAAAATTTTAAAAAAATTTATATTCTCCCTCAGAAATAAATGAGTCCCAGTTTCTCTACATCTTTACCAACACTTGTTTTTGTCTCTTTTTATTATAGCTCTCCTGTTAAATATGAAATGGTATCTTACTATGGTTTTGATTTGCTTTACCCTAGTGGCTAATGATACTAAGAATTTTGCATTATATTTGCTTGCCTACCCATTACATATTTATTAAGCCCTTTCCCTGCTTCCTATTTCATACTTCTGATTATAAATGTGTTACTTATATGAATTAGATTACACTTCAGATCACATCTTAATGTTTCAAAGTACAGAATTCAAATGAAGACTTTAGCCAAAATAATTTAAAATGCAAATTAACATTGAATAATCGGTGGGGCGTATTTGGTTTTTGTTTTTTTGTTTTGTTTTGTTTTGTTTGGCGAACCAGGGATTGAACTCAGACCCTTGCACTTGCCAGGGAAGCACTTATTCTACTGAGCCATCTCCCCGGCCCCTATTTGTTTGTTTTGAAATGAGATCTTACTATATGTAGTCCTGGCTGACCTTGGACTCATTATGTAGCCCAGACTGGCTTCAAACTTACAGTGATTCTCCTTCCTCAGGCTCTGAAGTGTAGGATTACAGGCATATACCACCACACCTGGCTGTGTTTCTTAAATATGCTTGCATCAACTTGAAGAAAATAAAAGCCATATTTTGTTAAAGTTTTCTGTGGTATGTTCACATGACATTTAGAGTTAATACCTACCTCTTTTTTTTTTTTTTCTTATTAGGCTTACTGTATTATGCAGGACATGGTTATGAAAACTTTGGGAACAGCTTTATGGTGCCTGTTGATGCTCCTAATCCATATAGGTCTGAAAATTGTCTATGTGTACAAAATATACTGAAGTTGATGCAAGAGAAAGAAACTGGACTCAATGTATTCTTGTTGGATATGTGTCGGAAGAGGTGAAACTTATTATCT